CAGCATTTCTCCTGCCTCTGGAACTTGCTTGGCTCCTTTTGCTGCCCAGAGCAGCTCTGTATGGACAGCCAGGCTCTCTGGTCTCTCCCAGTGCACTGCGCCTTATCCCTCAGCCAGCTGGAGAGCCTCCCCACCCTGACCCACCAGATGGGTGTTAGAGTGGCAGGTGTAATTTTTGGATTAGAGCAGCTGTGGTGGTCAAGGTAGCAAGTCAGGAATTTCAGATTTCAGATTTCACCTTGGACTCTCAGCCTTCCCCTGAGGCAGTGGTGGGCCAGGCCCTGCCATATCCCACAATGTCTTCCCCTTGGGAGGAAGGGCTAGCCACCAGTTGAGTCAGCATCTAGTCCACAGTACAGCCCTGGAGCCTGTGGGAAGCCCGAAATTGTCTGCAAGTGGCCCTAGAACAAAGCTTCAGTCTTGTAAGAGAGGTGATCACCCCCAGAAGTGGGCAGGAAGAAAGTCTGCTGTTATCAAAGTCCTCTGCCTTGACCAGCCATTCACGTTCTAAGTGTCTAGTGCCCATCCAGTGGTTTCTGGCTTGAGGTGATACTGTCCTTTTAGTTGGAGAAGGGTACAGAGGTAGTCCAGGTGGGAAGGCCAGTGGGCTGTGGGACCTACCTGTGCTTGCCTGGCTCCCTCTAGTGGGAGCCAGGGGCACACTGGCTGGCAACTACGGATTGAGAACATGCAAGGATGGTGTTCCCACCTTCCTTGGCTAAAGATAGGGCTCTGCCCACAATGTGCCTGTTCCACCTGCCAGCTGCCATGCCTTTGGCTTCCTAGATGGAGAGATGGCAGGCAAAATGAGAGAGAGAAAAGAAAACAGGAAACTGTTGTGTTAGGGAAGGTGGGAGGGGATGGGAAAATGGTTTTGATTTTGTGTGTGGGTTTGGTTTTTTTTTTTCCTTGCTTTTTTTGTAGTTGTCTAACTTTCCTTAAGTGCTTTAAAAAAAAAAAAAGTAAGTTGCAGGCTTTGACTGGAAATCCCCAGGGGGTACGGGGCAGGAACCTGAGGCTGCTGTCCCTTATCTGCCTTCAAGGTATCGTCCCTTCCCCCAGCTCCTCCAGGCCCTGAGCCAGGCCTCAGTCTTTCCAGCTAACTGCTTCCTATGAGCCACTACTCTGATGTCAGCCTATAACCAAAAGAGCTGGGGGTCCAGGCCTGGTGACCAGCCCTTCTCAGCCCACTCACTCAGGGTGCTCCCCATGTGAGGCAGAAGGCAGCACCCTATCTGCTGCCATCAGCCCCTTCCAGAGCCCACCTGCCCTGCCCACCCACCTACCCTGCCCTGCCATACCCTGCTCTGCCCCATCTTGGGGTGCTCTGTTTAGGGATGGGCTGGCAGGGCTGCACCCAGCCTCCCTGGTAAGCAGAGACTCAAGAAACCTCTGGGGTCCTATTTTGGTCATGTGACTTCAGGGGTGCACATGGGCCCCCTGGATGTCTGAACAGAAGGGGATGGGAGGGAAGGTCACACCCCTGCAGTCTCACTCTGCTGCTGTAGCAGGCAGCTGCCCAACCCCGCCCCACCCTGCACCTCGAGCTCCTGAATGGGCAGATTAAGCATTTTGTAAATTGCATTTTAAATACATGTTTTAAACTTGTCAAAAAAATAGAATAAAACACTATAACATTTACATTAGTACTACTTAAACTGAAATATTTAGGTATAAATTTAACAGAATGTTAAATTTTTACTTCTTATAAAAAAAATAAGTAAAAAAAGGAAACTTCTATTAAAGGGAACAAAGAATGACCTAAGTGGAGAGATATTTCACGTTCGTGGATAAAAAAATTGTCATGATGTCAGTTTTTCTGAACTTGATCCATAGATCCAACACAATCCCAGTTAAAATTCAAGCAATTTTTTTTTTTGCATCTCAACAAGTGATTCTAAAGTTCATATGGAGAGGCAAAAGACCCAGAATACTCACTGCAATTTTGAAGGAGAAAAACAAAGTCAGAAAACTGCTGCTACCCAATGTCAATACTTACCATAAAACTAGTCGTCAAGATAGCATGGCATTGGTGAGAGAACAGACAAGCAGGTCCATGCAACAGAACAGAGCTCCCAGAAACAGATCCACACAAATGTACTCACTGACATTTGACAAAGGAGCAAAGGTACAACAATGGAGAAAAGACAGTCTTTTTAACAAACAGTGATGAAAAACATTGGACATCCACAGGCAAAACCAAAGATCTAGAGACAGAGCTTATCCTCTTCACAAAAATTAATTCAAAACAGATCATAAGCATACATTAAAATGCCAGGTATAAAAGTTTTAGATGATAACACAGAGAAAGTCTACATGACTTTGAGTCTGACCATAACTTTTTAGATTCAACACCAAAGTCATAATTCAACAAAGAAATAACTGTTAAGTTGTTCTTCCTTAAATCAAAAACTTCTCTGCAAAAGACACCGTAAGAGAAAGAAGGTGAGCCACAGACTAGGAGAAAATATCTGCAAAAGAACCCTTAAAACTCAACAAGAAGGGAGCAAGCAACTCCATTAAAAATGGGCAGCAAGCCTGAGCAGACACCTTACTAGAAAGATGCAAATAAACCATATGGTACTAGGAAACTGCAAACTAAAATGACTACTACACACCCATTATAACTGCCCAAATTCCAACATTGCAGAGTCCACATGTTGTCAGGATGTTGAGCAACAGTAGTTCTTATGCATTACAACTGAGAATGCAAAATGGTACAGTCAGCTTAGAATACAGGCAATTTCTTACAAAACTATACTCTTCATGTGGGCAGTCCAGTGCGTGTGCTTCTTAGTGTTTACCCAAAGGAGCTGAAAAAACATGCTCCTATAAAAAAGTTGCACACAGGTGTTTATAGCAGCTGCATTCCTAACTGCCAAAATTGTACAGATGTCCTTCAGTAGGTGAATGGATAAATACACTGTGGTGTATATCCATTCAATTTACATGATTCAGTGCTACATCATGAAAGATGTAGAAGTGTCAGTGCATACTATGAAGTGAAAGAAGCCAGTATGAACATGCTACATACTTGTAGGATTCCAACATATGACATTCTAGAAGAAGAAAAGCCTAATGATTGCCAGGGGTCCCAAGAGTGGGAGGGCTGAAGAGAGGAGCACAGAGATTAGAGCAATGGTTTAGTCAGGCCCAGTCGCTATAAGTACCTAATGACAGATTTGGTGTCCCATGAGAGCATTCTTCCTGTCTATGGTTCAATGATTGTTACAAATGTACTGTTCCCGTGTGGGATGGTGGTACTGTGGAAGGTAGGGGATACATGAGAACTCTCTATTTTTTGCTCAGTTTTGCTTTGAACCTAAATCTGTTCTAAAAAAACTATTTAAAAAAATTAAAATAAGATTAATATTATGACAGATGAAGTTGCAACAGAGACATAATGATCCACAAAGCCATATGTACTAACTTACCCTTTCCAGAAAGAGTGTCAAGCCTGACTTACAAGGTAGTTTGCTAAAACTGGCTCACTTTATGTAGAAAAATTGGGCTATCTTCATACCTTCCACCACATACAAAGTCGAAGCACAATAGAATTTGATACGAAGGATAAAACTAAAATCTTATAGAAAACACAGGATATTTTTTCTTAAGGGTAAAGGTTCCTTACAGAAGATTATAAAAGCATAAATCAGAGAGACTAATATTCTTAATTTCTAGTTGGAGATACGTATTAAAATAATCACCAGCACAATATTCCTTGTCTTCGCTAGACCCGGAAACTTACAAACACCTGCTAATCCACAGAGGCCGGCACTTGAGGGGACTCGGGGCTTTGCTATGGCTAGGAGGAAAGGTCTTGGGCGGGTCACGTCCAGTCTATGAAGTCCATCTCACCTTCAGGGGCACCGCACAGACCCTGGGCATGTGCCCACAACCTCCTTCTCGCTCCTGAGTCTTGTTGCCACGGCGTCTTCGTTTCGTGCGGCTAGAGTCAAGAGGACGGTGGCTTCACCCAGTCGCCTGGACTTGCTGGACCCCGAGGGTCTTCGCGCTCCCGCGGCCGCCCGGGCCACGTGCACCCTCCGTGCGGACCCCGAGACCCTTGCGCACATCAGAATAGAAAGATCTCGGAATGAATGAACTTTTTTCAATGAGCCTGTTCTTCCCCATCCCCACCGCGCTTTTAAGGCAGGGCCTTGCTATGCGGCCAAGGCTGGCCTGGATCCCCCCGTCCCCGTCCCCGTCCTCCAGCCTCAGTCTCCCGAATGCTGAGATTACAGGAGTGTTCTACCAAGCAGGTTATTTGTGAAGTCCTAGAAAGAGGACCGTCACTTTCTCATCCGGGTGAACACAGCATCAGCACTCGACTGGGTGCTGCGTATTTGCCAAGCTCATCAAACTAGAAATGCCTGCCCCGCCGCCAAATGGACAAGTGAATGGCTGTAGAAAGAGGAGCACCTGAGCGAGTGAAGGAAAGAACGGAGAATCGGGGTAGGGATGAGGAAGGCAGGCCGGGGAGGGGGGCGTGGAGGGGGCGTGCCGCCTCGCCACCACCCTGCACGGCCGGGTCCCAGCCCTGCCTACCGCAGACGCCCGGCCGAGCGGGCGGGGCCGCCTCCGGGACCCGAGGCGGGGGGCGGCGAGGGAGGCAGGTGTCGATGAGCCCGCGGGCGTCCTCCTCCCGTACCCGGGCGCCGTCATGCCCGGAGGAGCCGAGGCGCTGGACCTGCGGGTGCGGAACCGCGCCTCGGTGTTCTGGAGTCCGGGTCACAGGTCGGTACCCCAGGGCGCGCCACAGCGCCACTCGCCTCCCCCCGGGGACGCTCCCTCCTCCGCCCTCGCTTGGGTTCCATCCCGGCTTGGCTCCGCTGCCTCCCGCCTCCACGAGCCCAGAGACTGCTGCCACGTAGAAAAAGTTCTGGGAAACAGCAGCTCGCCCAGCCCAGGAGAGGGGCGGAGTGGTGACCCGGGGCGGGGCGCCGCGCCCGGGTCCCCGCGCAGCCACGGGCGGCCCCCGGGACACAGTGGCCAGCAGAGCCCGCGTCACCCCGATAGCGCTGCCCCCGGGGCCAGATCTGCACGCGCTGGGTCTGGCTGGAAGGGTAAGAGAAGGGGACCCCCCCAACACCCACATAAAGACTTCGAGTTCCTAGGACGAGACCCTGGCGAGGTCCAAATGGGGCCCAAATGCAGAGAGAGGTTCTTCCTGCCGGTCTTCCCATCCTCAGTGTCCTGGAACGTTCTGAAGGCGGAGGCTTGGCTCTCCCGCCTTCTTTCTAATTTTCCCCAGCACAGGAACCCAGAGAGGGGATCGGGTGTTTGTAGGTTAACGGCCAGGTGAGGTGGCTGGTGGGGCATCTTTCAGGACAGGGATTCAGGAGAAATGCTGAAGTCCACGGCTTTCCTGTTCTGGAACTTTCTGGCTAACTTGGGCATGCTTGCATTAACTGCTGGCAGCTAGTTAAATAAGGCCTTTGGGAACAGACAGGCCTTTTCTCAGGTGGGAGGGTTACAGTGTGGTTAATCCCAGCTTCTCGGCCTTCATGAAAAGGCGCACAGTTCAGCCCGATGGTGCTGCCCAGGGGCCCCTCCTCCGTGGTCAGAGCTCCTAGGGCTCCCGAGCACAAACTGGCCTTGGCTTCCGCTCCGAGCTTGAGCTCTCAAAACAAATATATTGGTGGGCCGTTAAACTTTACTAAAGTAGTGTTGAGACTTTTCTGCAGCTAGCAAGGGGATTGGAGGTGTGGAGCTCAAGTGGCAGAGCGCCTGCTTGGCAAACGCAAAGCCCTGAGTTGAAACCTCAGTCTTGCCCCCCCCCAAAAAAAAAGTTAGCAAGAATTCAAGGGAGGAATTTACCTGATCCATGGTGGCTGTCCAGATAAACTAATTTTCAGCAAGTGCGTTATATATTTTTCAGACCTTTGATGGTATGTTTACAACTGGATACTTGTGAATGGCACAGAAAAATGACCAGTGTGAAATTTATAAGCTGTGTCTTTTAATGCTGAGGAGTCAATTTTTAATAGTCCAGATGGGTAGAAGTTATCCATCTACCTTCTCTCTAAATGCACTGTCTTAAAAAGTAAGAAGAGAGTGGACTCTGGATTTATTTACCCTTTTCTGCTTGGGCTGGAACAGGCTTGTGCTCATGGTGGGTGTGGTTTATAGTCTTTTCATCTTGACTCCATTATTTTTCTTAGCAGATTTCCTTCAAGGTCTCACCAGCTTTTGACATACCCTGTGGCTTCTGCGCTCTTCAGAAGCAGTGGCCATTGTTAGAGTAAAGGATACCTTTGGGTGTGCTCGCAAATGGTGAAAATTGTGTGTCATTGTAAATAGAATGGAGAAAGGTGAGGTGAGAGAGAGGTGGGAGAGGAGTCCATGGAAATCAGGATGCAACTCTGATATTTTATATAGAAGGGACCAACTGCATAGTTCTCTCCAGAAGTGGGATGTGGACTTCGCTAACCAAACTGTACAAGTTTTGGGCAATCTGGTGGCCTCTTCCTGTTGAGTCAGAGGTCTGTTCAGATTTTCGCTTACCTCCCTCTTCATACCTTTAGAGGCGTCAAATGCCCACTGCCCAGGCACACCCTTCTCAATAGCAAAACTTCTATAAAATTAGGGTCTAGAGCCAGAGACCCCTTTAAGAACCGTCATACTTTCAATCAATATGCACTTTAAAAAATGAAGGACAGGAAGGTAAAACAGGTCCTGTCCGGGGGTGAGTACCAGTGGGAGGGGGGAGGGTAAACAGAGAGAGTGAAGGAGGGCGGATATGGTGGATGTACTTTGTATACTGTATGAAAATAGAACAATGAAACCTGTTGAAATTATTCTAAGAAGGGGGAGGGGGCTGAAAGAGAATGATGAAGGGGGTGAATCTAATTAGGATACATCCTAAACACATATGTTAATGCCACAATGAAACCCCCTGTAACTAATATATGCTAATAAAAAAAAAGGCACATTTTATTTATTTTCCTATGTTGGTTGATCTTGATAAAGTGTCAGAGGAGATTATATCCTTTTCTCCAAGGAGGAGCATATCACAGGATTGTTTTACTAAATAAAGCAGTAAATATAAAGTATCCTAAAGAAGCAAATAGGAACAGTCTTGGGACAAATTTTAAACAGCGTGAACAATAGGGAAGTGAAAGTCAGGAGTGATGGTGTTCACGAGTTAATCTCTTTGCCCACTCACTCTTCTGTCAGTGAAGTGAAACCTAGATTAAGAATATTTTTAAAACAATCAAACACACACACACACACAGGTGGCTTCTTGTGGCTAAAGTTTTCTAAGTAAAAACAGTAGCCAGAGAAAATCTTGTTGGCTGTAAAAGTTAAGGGAAAAAAAAAAAAAGTGAACCTTTCCCTGAAGCTAAACTGCTCTCTTCAGCTAACACTCAAGGACAAGTGACTCTTCAGAAAGTTCTTAGGCCACCTGTTAAGGGCTTCCAAGAGAAACTTTATTCCCAGACTCTTTTTTTTTTTTTTCTAATGGGACTACAATATTCTGTTCAGTATCTTCAGTATCAAGTATTTCAAACATGTTTTTGGCTTTGTTTGCTTTTGCAGCCATTTAGGATTTTTTTCCCCTTTTTTCTGATCCTGCTTCAGCCTGAGGTATCTGCTCCACTTTGGGGCCTGGCCTCAGCACCTTCTCCCTTATGTGAGGAGATTGCTTTGGAGAACTACTTGGCCACCTCAGCAGGTGACCTGCTTCTTTTTTTGCTACTTTCAAAGTTGTATTTTGTTTGTATTTTGAAGACAGTTGGGTGGGTTCAGCCTAAGATACCTGCCAGGTAATAATTAGTAACTTGTAAGGCCAAAGATTCTGGAAAATTGTCCTTGGTGTAATAATTCTAGATGACCCACAATTTAAATGATGGACCTTTAGGTTTTTTTCTTCCTTTCTTTTCTTTTTTTGTAGTACTGGGATTTGAACTCAGAGTCTCACACAGGCTCTGTACCATTAGCCAGGCACTGTACCACTTAAGCCACTCCACCAGCCTTTAAATGAAGAACTTTTAAAAGAAAACTACATTACTTAACCCAGCTAGAGGGCAACTAAAGGGATTTCCTTTTCCTTCCTTCCTTTCTTCCTTCCTTCCTTCCTTCCTTCCTTCCTTCCTTCCATTTTTTTGTGGTAGTCCTGGAGTTTGAACTCAGGGTTTCACACCTGTTGGACAGGTGCTCTACCACTTAAGACATGCCCCCAGTCATTTTTCTTTAGTTACTTTTTCCATAGGGTCCTGTATTTTTGCAACGGTCAGCTTTGAATTGTAATCTTCCCATCTTCACCTTCAGAGTAGCTGGCACACACTACCATGCCTGGACTCCAACTAAAGGAATTTTCTTGAGGAGGGGTGAATATAGGAATTCACCAACATGACACTGAGATTGGCTTGTCCGGAATTAAGGTAAAGTCGATGCTTTGAGGGAAAAATGACATTTGTTTGTAACTTCTTTTACTCAGGATGGCCCTATTAAATCAGATACTTATGGAAAACATTAGAGAAAGACAAAAGTTATTTAGGGAGTACCATAATTGCAGTTCTCTCCCCGCTGTAAGGTTGAGGAGTAGAGGTTACCATGTACTCATTCTGCCCCAGAGAGCTGATTCTTCCTTCTGTTTTCAAAGGAGTGTGTAGGTGGTTTATTGAGAAAAAACACTTCTAAAACATGCAGCTCTAGTTCTGCTTTCCTGGTAATCTGAGGCAGCAAAGTGGTGAGGGGATGATTTTATAGGAACTTAGTGGCATGGCTGTCTTTAGGGAAATTCCTGAAAACTTAGCATGTGCATCTTTTGTGGGTGGCTCTAATGGAAAATGAAAAGCCCCTTTGGACTTCCTTCTTAGGGTCTGAGGGACCATGTGTCTATGTTTTGAGAGAGATGCTGAGAAAGAGACCAAAGCTTACTTATTTGCCTTTTTTTTTTTCCTCTCTCAACTTCCTTTAATTGGAGCCCAACAACCTCAGAGCCATGGCTAACTGGACTCTGTCTTTCTTTTCCTCTTATGGACCAGCAAGCCATGAGGAAATTGGAGTGAAACCTCATGTAGGAGTTGTTAATTGGTCCAAAGTCCTCCATCTGCCAGTGGCCCCCGGACACTCATCCTGGGCCTATCTGGTCACTGCTGAAGAAAATTGGAATCATCCTCTATGCTTATCTTCCTCTACTCTATTACCACTCACCACACACAAACTAAGGGCAGGGAAATGCCCGATTGCCTGAGACATAGTAGAATTTTTTTTTTTTAAGCTTATTTTGATTCACAATGTTAACTCAACAATTCACAAGAATGAAGCAACTAGGAAAAACTTGACAAGGAAATTTTAGATCTCTTACGATATACTTCACTGTGGTTACCAGGATGTGTTCTATCTAGACTTTTGAAAATGTCTGCATACAGACATAAATGCTGACATATTTTGAAAAAATGAGATCTCAATCTGTTTTGTAACTTAAAAAAATTTAGCAAATAGGACTGTAATAATTTAACAAATAGGACTGTAATAATTTAACAAATAGGATTGTAATAGGACTGATTTTTCTGACCAGTTATTTTAAAATTGTTGTATAAATCCATACAAGTTTGATTCCTAGATCTTAGAAAGTCTTACAGTATAGCTGTTGCCCAAGTGCCCTTCAGTGTTCACATTTCCTTCTATACGGTTCCTCCATATTTGATAAGTAAAAGTTAAGGTAGATATTCACCAATCTGATTATTAGTGAGTTTTGCTCTTAGTTAATGTTTGGTGGCTGTTCAGACTCTGCCTGTTGTTTTATCAGGCTGTGTTTTTCTTATTAGTAGTTGGGACTCCTCTACAGGTAATAGACAGTAAAGTACGGCATGCTTAAATACATAGTATATCTTTTCTTCCTGTCTGTCTTTTGACTTTTGATGTCTTTATTTTTTATGCTAAGGTCTGTCAGTCATTTTCTTTGATTCTGGATTTTGGCCTACTTAGAAAGACATTAAATTAGCTGTAAAATTCTAGAAGTATAGGATGTCAATTTTATTTTTTTAATGTGTCTTAAGTTTTATAGTTTGCATTCAGTTTGAGAGAGGACTCTAACTTTCTCTTTCCTACTTAG